CGCGACGCGCGCGCGCGCGCGCGCGGGCGGGGGGGAGTTGGGCGCGCCAGAGCTTAAGAGCATGCGCAGTCGTGGGATTCCGGGCCGCCGCCCACGTGACTCCCACCGGGCCGCTTCCCCTACCTGAGTTACAGGTTTCTGTGCTGCGCCACCTTCTGCGGTTGCAGCGGGCGGTGCCAGTAGCGGCGGCAAGGTGGGCGCTGCTTGGGGCAAACTAGAATACTCCGAAAGCTCGCGCTTCTAAGGAAGCTTCCGGGCTAGGTATGGAGGACACAATGATGCCTTAAAACCTGTTATGGCCTATGCATGGTCGTGGACCATATTCCTGCTTGTGTTCACCACTGCGTCTTTTCTTTTTATTTATTTTTGTTCTCTTAAAGACAAGAGCTCGCTTTGTTGCCCAGATTGATCTTGAACTCCTGACCTCAAGCGATCCTTCCTCCTCCGTCTCCTAAAGTATGAATTTACAGCCTTGAGCCACACCGCTGCCCGCCATTTAGTCTTTTCGATTCAGCTGTTTGGAGTCACTTGTTAAGGTCGCGTCCTCCTCCCCGGAATCTTGCTGCCTTGCTAAGCCGAAACCAACTTTTCTGCACCCTTAGCCTATGCCAGCTGGCGAATACGTGGCGAAGAGAGGGGTGTCTTTCAAATAGTTTTTCGAGGGAATACCAAAAGCCATGTCACCCTGCACCTTTTGAAAAAAAAAATAGGTGGTTTCTACTCATAGGTCACAGGCAGTAGAGACCTGCATTCTGGGGCGGGTATAACATAGAAAACACATACGAACTATGTTAGAGATAAGGTAAAGGAAAACTAGAATATGCATTTGCTCAACCATGTACTGGCAGCCATAGTGAGTGACTTTTGCTATATTCTGAACTTTGGTCAGATATTAAACTAACAGGCCTTTAACATTCAAATTGAAACTTGAGACTATCCCATTGTTTTAAAGAGGGGGAAACTGAGCCTGTAGTTTATAGAGGTTTCATGCACCCCTCACCTTTCCACCGGAATATGAATGCCACGAATTGAGAGACTGTCATGCTCTCTATTAAGTTTCCATTCCCTAGCACTGTGCCTGGCACATAATTGGAGCTAATTAATATTTACTGAGTGAATGGATAAAGGGAAAATGAGTTCCCAAGATGTCTCGGTTGGGAAGCCAGACTTAGTATCCAGGTCTCTTGACCCAAGCTAAGGCTTTTAATTTGCTTTTGGCGTTATGACCGGCAGAATCACAACTCAGGGCACTCCAACCTGTGAGGTAAATTAACTCAGGAGAAGGTAAACGACTATCTAACCATCCTTTTTCTGGTGACTGTCCCATTAGAATCTTGGAGTCCTTATGTCTCATTAGAAAAAGGAAATTACTCTGTCTGGATTTTGTCTTGGAATTGTTGGGTATCTGTTGCACTTCACACTGAACTCTTCCCTGAGCCTTTCAGTAGCTGGTCTTGTGAAACAGAAGGCAAGACAATTAACAATAGGATAATCCTCTTCTTTTCTGGAAGATTTGATTAAAAGAAAGAAAAAAGTAAAAGGAATCCTCCAGTAATATTTACCAAGGACCCACTGTGTGCCTACCAGGACTAGCATAACAGAAGCCTGGAGGGAGATAACAGAAATATTAGAATTTAAATCTCGAAGCAAAGAATGGATTTTAGCAGGTTGGGGTAAACAGATAAAAAAAATTTAACACTGTGTACAAAGAAAGCAGGTTACCTGTGATGTACCTACCAAGTTATAAACCGACAAATAAAAACAAAGATGTAAAGAGTAAAAACTTTAACATAAATTAGAACTTTTTTTTCTTTAAATTTATGTGGGTGTGGGGAATATGCAAGATTGCATGGTGTCTGTCGAAACAAGTGTCCACTCTCTATCTCAATCTGGAAAGTCTTCCTGGAGAAGATGATACTAAAAAAAAGCCTTCAAAGCAGGAATGATACCAGCCTTGGAAACTAGAGGTTGCTTTCTGCCTTTGGAAGCTAAGACAAGGACTTGTAAGTGATAACAAAGAGATTATTAGTGTGGGAAAGAGAGACAGGCAAATCCGACTCTTTGAGCAGTTTCCTTAATGACCCACCTGAAAAGAATCACTTTTTCGATATGCAGGGTTTAATTGTACACACAAGAAGTACAATATATGTTGGTATCTACTATGGGTCATAAAATGGAAGAAGCATTGAGAAGATAGGAGTAAACAAGATTCCTGTGGTCCTGCTCTCATGAAGCTTACAGGAGCAGATAATAGAGTTAGGTTTCTGAAGGTAAACATTACTAAACATGGGTTCTCAGAGCACATTTGTTATGTTCTACCTAATTTATATCTGAATATTATAAACGGATTCATTGAAGTTTTTTTATCCAGCTTCTCGACAAATTCTAAAAGAGCTGAACACCGGTTCATTGAAATTTTACAGAGACATTGGGAATCTTGCAAGACAGAAGTTATTTCAGAATGCTCTGGGCTTTAGCAAAACATGACCTTTCTAGCGTGATGGAAAAATGCAATCAACAAAGCAATGATAGAGAATCAAACCAAGGTTATAACCTCAAGCTGCTAGTATTACAATATGAAAGATAAAACCAAGAGCAAGTTTAGGGGAAGGGAAGAGCTCACATAATCATTTACAATTATGTAATTAAAATTAGATGATAAATTGCTAGATTATTTTTTTAAATGAAGAGCTATCAGTATTTGAGGTAGGGGAGTTAAGTTGTTTTATTCTGGATGGTTTACATGACTTACTGTTTTCTTTTCCTCAACTCTGTGCTCTTCAGTAGGATCCCAAAACTTAACATAGAATAGCTATTTAGGGTTTTGCTATAAACTATACATTAAAAACATGGGAAGACCATAAATACTGTCATTTTTTTAAAAAAGGCTGTGCAGAGAAGCTGAATCCTATGTCTTGAGAGAAACATTAAATATATCCAATTAAGCTGGAAAAAAATAATTCCTAATGATTCCATTCTTAGAAAATCATCTGTTCAGCATATTTTGGTGCTGTGCAGAAAACTGGCTGGAGTTTAGGAAAATAGAATTCTAAACCAAAATTGCTTAGTTATTGAATAGGCTAGAAAAACAGGAAATGTCAGCAACTATCAAGCAAGGGATAGCAACAAGAGAACCAATAGGCGTCATGAAACAAACATAAACGACAAGGTATTAATCAATTTGTTTCTTGGCCATCAGCTATGCTGATAGCAATGGTGCCAATTTCAAAGAATTCAGAAACGGACGCTGCTGTGAAACCCAGGCAGCAGAAACTTAGCCACCAAAGTCATCTTTATAAAATAAGACTGATTCCATCATTTTAAAAACATACACCTCCATCTCTTACCAATATTTCTTTTCTCTCTCTTTTTTTTTTTTTTAGTTAGGATCTCACTATGTGGCCTATGCTGGAGTGCAGTAGCACTCACGGATCACAGCAGCCTTGAATTCCTGGACTCAAGCAATCCTCCCTCCTCAGCTACTGGAGTAGCTGGAACTACAGGCGTGTGCCACCATGCCTCACTTTTATTTTTTAAAAATATTTTATTTCCCTATGTAGCCTAGGCTGGTCTCGAACTCATGGGCTCAAGCAGTCTTCCTGTCTCAGTCTCCCAAAGTGCAGGGGTTACGGGCATGAACCACTGTGCCAGGCCACAATATTTCTTTTAAAAAAAAATTCCCAACCTCTTATCCTCCCCTGAAAATAATGAAAACTTTAAAAAACCTCAAATGTTCATCCATTTATTCATCCATTAATATATAAACCCAACTATGAAAAACTATCTTGAAAAATAACAAAATTGGAGAACTCATGCTTCTCAATTTCAAAACTCATTGTAGAGCTATAGTCATCAAGATTCAATATTATTGGTATAAAGATAAGCATAGCTCAATGGAATTGAATTGAGAGTCCAGAAATAAATCCATACATTGATAGTAAATTGACTTTTTTTTTTTAAATTACCAAGACCATTCAGCAGAGGCGAGGATGGTCTTCTCAACAAATAGTGCTAGGACAATGGGATAGTTACATGGAACAAAATGAATTTAGACCCCTACCTCACAACATACATAAAAATTAACTCAAAATGGATCAAAAACCTATATGTGAGAGTCAAAACTGTGTTAAAAAGGATAATAGGCATAATTGTAGGCAATGGTTTCCTAGATAAAACACCAAAAGCATAAACTACAAAAGAAAAAAATAGATAAATTGGACTTCAAAGGATATCATAAAGTGAAAAGAACACTTGAAGAATGGAAGGATATATTTATAAATTATATACCTGATAAGAGACTTGTATTGGAATACATAAATAAGTTTTACAACTCAACAATAAATAGAAAAACAACCCAATTTTTTAAATGGACAGTTAATTTGAATAGACATTTTTTCAAAGAAGATATACATATGGCTGATAAACACATGAAAAGATGCTCACCATTATTAGTGATTAGGGAAATGCAAATTAAAATACACTGAGATATACTTCACTCCTGCTATGGGTGACTTTAAGAACGACAGACAATATCAAGTGTTGACAAAAATGTAAACAAATTTAAATCCTCATGCAATGCTTTTGGAATTGTAAAATGGTGCAGCCACTTTTTAAAGTAATTTGGTAGTTCCTCTAAAGTTAACATATGATCCAGTAATTCTACCCCTAGGTGTGCAACCATGAAAAATAAAACCACATATCCACACAAAAATTTATATATCAGTGTTCATAGTAGCATTATCCATAATATTTAAAAAATAAAAATAATTCCAATATCTATCGGATGATAAATGGATAAAACGAATGTGATGTTTTCATGCAATGGAATATTATTCAGCAGAATGAAATACTGGCACATGCGACAACATGGAGGAACCTTGAAAATTTTCTAAGTGAAG